TACAAAATTATTCTAGTGGTTCGTGTGTATGTAAACATATTTGAAGAGGAAAGGGGAAACTTTTTCCCAGCAGACCGTATATCTGATCATCTCCCCCTCAGTATGGGCTAACTGCTGGGTGTTTTACTCTCATGCTGTAGAGAAAGGGGAATTGCAGTGATGCAAATTCAAAGCACAATTTGTCATGGGACTCTGTGTCGTGCAGATGATGTCATATACTTGCAATTTTTTTTTAAGTACAGTTTATCAATTTGTGCTCTTTTCCACTGAATGTATTCCTTTGCATCACTCATAAGCATCACATGTGCTCTGCTTGATGTCCTATTGCCATGTGTTTATTTAAAAAGAAACCCTACCATTCAGAACAAATACCCGGCCTACTGACAGGTCCGACTTTTCCCCAAATACAGAAGAGCTGCTGCTTCTTATCAGATATCAGCTACCATTAGTAGATATGACGATGCAAAACTGTAGCCTTAATAGATTCCTACAACACCCATTGAAGCATTCAGCTGTTTCTATCTTAGTTTTGCATGTGGCAAAACTCAGATGTACGAAGATGAGGTGGGTTGTCTGTAGCTTGAAAATAGGATAGTGACAGAGCTGATTTTATTTCTTTATTTTAGTTCTATGCTAAATATGTGAGTCATACGGCCTGTCTTAGAATAAAAGAGGAAGGGAAYGGATGTTATATATCCCCCAAGAGAATGTCTGTGTGTAAAGTGTACTAAGGGATTCCACTTCCCAGAGGTTGAGCACAGGCGCAGGTGCCCAGGATTTGTGTTTAATAGGAGTCGATGAATTTCTTGGGTGACATTTTTTCAATCGTTATTTCTCATGGWAGAAGAAGGAGCAAAAGTAGGAGTCAGGCTTAGAAATGTGGCCCCTCGAGTGTTATTTGGATACTCCGAAGAATTCTCCAGCCAGCACAGTATGCTGCCAAGCTGGACCAAGCCTGAGGATTAAACCTGGAGGTTGTTTTCCTTGGGAGCAGGTTGGCTCTATTTACAGTGGAAGGGATTTACTGATAAATAAGCCCTATGGTGCCCTGCTGGCAAAAGCACTCTCAGCATGGATGGATCTGCATCTAAAAACTCTGCTGCTACTTAGCCTGATAAAATTAACTTACATTTCATGAATTTAAAGTACTATGTGATTAAAAATAGAGCATATAGCAGCTATCGTAGTTGTTTCCAGATCTGAGGTGTGTAATAAATATGTATGTATGGATGAGGTGAGATTTACCTAGTGCCATGTTTACTGTTTCTCTGCTGCTATTATGACATGTTGGTGCAACTTGTTAGGCAACATATTCCAGTGTCCACTAATTTCTGTTTACTAATAACACTAAGAGTCATTGTAATCTACCTACAGGGCATTTTCTTTTCTTATGTCCAAGGAAACCATTTTGAAAAGCACTAACATATTAGTAACATTCAATATTAACATTAAAACCTTGGGGTTTAAGGAGAAGGAGGGGAAAATTTGGCTTATGGATTTGCTTTTTCTGCSCTAGAAGTGGCCTTCTGTTCTTGTTACAAGCATCGCACTCACTAGACCCGCACCAAGGAGAGGCAAATGCCAGCCCTGACACATACCTTGAGCCCTATATGTAGGGCAGGAGGGAGGCAGAGTGCTAAAAATGGAAGCTAGAGGTTTTTCCTGACAAGGTGGTGACCAGGGGGGCTTGTGAACATCCAACCCCAGTTGGTCACTCTGGTTTGCCTTGGGCTGTGAGCTTGCCCTGCTGCCCAGGGCACTCATGGGCTCTTTGGTCGCAGTTCACAGGAGTTTTTGGCTCTTTGATGCTGGTAGTGCCATTACCTACCTCAGAGGTTGCTCTTCCCATTTCTTTCCCATTGCTTTTTAAAAGAGTGTTTCCAAGGCTGTTTTTCTCAGCTTTCTGTATGTCCCGCAGTTTTGCCTAAGGAGACTCGCATCACACCAYGGCAGCTGCTCTTAAGCTGCTTATTTTAAGACATGGCACCTTTAGTCAGAGTTTTCTGTCCTCTGCTATCTTAGTTCCAGGCTTATAGCTCAAGCTTCCCAGCCTTGAGTAGGCTGCATGTCTGGTCTGAGCTCTTCCCTCTTCTTTTGTCCTGCAGAATACTCTGGWTTAAATCAGCTATTGACCCTTCCACTTGCTCAGCTTCGCAGGTGACAAGATGAACCCGGTATTTAGAAGTCCCATGATTTAGAAAAATATCTGCAAAGCTTTTCCCATCTGGTACTCTGAAGTACAGTCTCCTGCATTTTTCTCTYTGAAAATCTTGCAATGCAGCTGGGCTGTTCCGAGTGATCTGTTTAGTAGGTTCTTGTCTGTGAAAGGTGACATTGAGTTCAGTGTATAAACAGTGCATTCCTAAGGAGATGCTGAAGAACAGAAGTGTTCCTCGAAGCTATTGATAGCTCTGAAGGGCAATGCGTTGATGGAGCTGAAAAACTGCTACAGAAAACAAGGGGCTTTGGAAACTCAAGAGTGAGAACTGAAAATAACAGTTAAGAAAATCCCCTCTTGTTCTATCACTATATTGTAAAAAAAAGTTAGACAGTATGAAAGTAAATGATTTTGAGAAAATAGGGGGATTTAGGAGAAAAAATGTTGGCATGAATGGCCAAGAAGATTAAGAAGCTGGAGATATGACTGTTTACCCGTGTTCACAAAAACAGTCTTGACAGCCTGTCCTTCGTTATTAAGGACTCAAATGGATTGATTTGCAAAGAGGACTTCACAATTCATTACCTGAAGTTTTATAGAAAACCCAAGAGCAATGGGCATCATGCACTGTGGCCATACAAATGGAAACAGTGCATGCAGCCAAACAGGGCAAGTCTTAGAGCAGCAAGATTTTCTTTTCCCCTGGAAATAATTGAATGTTTTTTTGCAAGAACAGTGGAAAAAAAAAACCCAGCAACATAGGTCTTATATAACACTTTATATCTGTAAGTTGAAAAGTATTTGTATTTTTGTTCCTGCCAGTATCTGTGTCATTTTACAGAAACTGAGGCAGAGGGAAGTGACTCATTTGACTCGCTGAAAGTACAAACCATGTTAATGACATAGATGGATACAAACCCAGGGCTTCCACATCCCAGTGCAGCATGTGCCACTAGGCTCTAGTGTCACCTACTTTCTTGTAATAAGTATAACCTCTATAATCATTCAGTGCTCTTGATGACATGGTTTCTGTCCACAAACCAAAAAAGCTGTGAGCAGGTTGCAACAGTAAATAATATATGCTTCCAAGCCTGGGCTACTTCTCTGGGATCTGGGAGGTACAGAATTTTTTAGATAGAGTAGATACAGGGGTGTGCTACGGAATATTCTTTGGAAGTTCAGGTGTTATGTGCTGAAATGTTACAAGTAAAATTATTTAAGAAGCTGAGGAGATTCTGACGTGACTGCCATCTCAGGAGTGCAAGTCATCCCTGGAGCATATTTAAGGAAGACTGACTGCTAAACATAATGAGCTTGCAGAGATTTCAGCTGTGGAAAAAACAAGATAACGCTGTAAATGAGAGATTGTGAGGGGCAAATAGCTAATAAAGAATGCTCTGCGGGTCACTGCCCTGCTGTTTAGCCAGCTATGAACTTGCTATGAACTTGACTTTTTGGTATGATGGTCAGAACTGAATAAGGGCACATTRGTTTCAATGTTCTTTTGTTGCAGCACCTCATTAGTATAGAAGAGTATGTTTGTGTATAATTTCTACAAAAGCTTTCTGGACACCCGCCTTAATAATCCCAGTGTCTCACTCATTGCTATGCCTGCAGCAAGCTGCAGTTTGAGGAGCAATTTCAGCTGATCAAAGCGTGGGCTGCCAGAAGGGGCAGTTTTGTCTTCTCCCTTAATCCTGGACYCCAGTTCCTGCTAATCCCCTTGTCAGAACTGGTGTTCTGATCCCACCTGGCTGAAGTCTAACATGGAAAAAAATAAATCAGTAGAAATATAACTGTGATTTTTCAGCCTGATGTGACACGAGGGAGTGGGAATGGAAGCAGTTATGCATGCTGGTTGGGTTATTGCTGCTGTGGGCATGAGAAGTTAGATGAAAAAACAGAAGTAGAAACAAAGTCTGAACTAACAAAGGCTGGTTTTGTAATCGTAGATGGGCTCACGAAAATAGCATGCGCTAATTTAGTCTGGATCTTTCATGCTTTTCTTTCCACTTTGCTCCTTATAGTTCAGTTGATTGAACTGAAAATATTACTCTGAAGCTATATACAGTTATAAGAAGTGAGGCTTTATTTTTAAGACCTGAAAGAAATAAACTGCTGTGAATTTACTGAGAATTGGTCAGACAAAGTGCACGCTTTTTCCTTTCCCTTTCATGTGCTACATCTTTGCTCCATCGCATTTGTCACTTGTTCGATCCCGTTCAGCTTAACGGGACATTTGCAACCAGTCTCCTTTTCGTCCCATCTTCCTTCTCTCAATCTGGGTTTCTTGCCCATTTTTCGTGTCCCAGAGCCTGCTCTATCGGGGCAGAGGCCCCCCCTGCTGTCAGACATTGCAGCAAGACTGGACACGCCGTAGCTTTCCACCTAACCTAGTCCAACAAGCTGCAAATTACAGGGAAACGGAGGAAATTATTATGGAAAATGATTTAAAATACCATTTAATACTTTTTTTTTTTTTCAGTTTCAGCTTTTCCTGAGTTTAACAGCAGCACCGGTATATTTTTCACAGGATTTTTTTTCCAGAGAGCCTTTATTAAAAATGCAACCGATTAAGATTAGCAAAGCCAGGGAAAACGTGGGTGCATTGAAAAGTTTACAGCCCCTATCAAGTAGATGAGCAGGCAGGTAGACCCCAGGGGGTAGCAGGCAGAGCTGCAAAAGCAGGTGGAAAACCCGATGAAAACGCCCCCAAAACGGCGCCGAGGCCTGCGGGGCCAAGACCGGGACTCGAACCGGCGGCCCTACGTGCTCCTCCCTCGCGCAGGCGCGCTGCCGCCGGCGAGGTCACGTGCGCGGCGCGGCGGKGCAGCGGCGGCGCCATGGCCGCGCTGCGGCTGCTGGAGAAGCTGCCGCCGGGCCAGGCCCTGGAGGTGGGAGCCGCGGCAGGGCCGGCGCCCGGACACCGCGCCCGGGGCGGGAGCGAGGCCCAAGCTCCCTGCCCCTTGGGCCTTGCTCTGCGGGAGCCCCGGGTAATTAATTAATTACTGAGTTTCGGGTTTCTTCCCCCCCAGTTCCTTCACGGAGTGATCGACGGCGTGTGCGGGCGCGCGTACCCGCGGTACCGGGACTACGGCGGCGTGTGGAGCGTGGCCGAGTGGATGGAGGTTCTGCAGGGAACGGGGGCGCACTTCAGAAACGCCGTGGGGAAAGGCGCGTCCGAGGAAGAGGTAAGGGCTCCTCAGCGGCTGGAGAGAGCGAGCCCCGGTACGGAGCGGGAGCTTCTCCTTCCCTCCTTCCCTCCTTCCCTCCTTCCCTCCTTCCCTCCTTCCCTCCCCCTTTTTTTCAGAAATAGAAGGTCAAGTTCAACTTTTTTTTTTTTTTAAAGTACCGTACTGAATAGCACTTTTTGTTAAAATGCTGCTTCATTTATTTAAATGAATACCTCATGTGCCACGCAGGATTATGTCCGTGTCATTRGCAGTGAAAGCAGTTTATGCTCTTGTTTGATTCACTCTGTTTATTACTGCTGTATTGCAGCCTCTTTAAGAAGTGGGTGTATGTAAGTACTTACACATCTAGTGGAAATAAACCGTGCAGGAGAGAGATCGTAATTCAGGGCGGTTTAATATGTCTGAGTTTTGCAGAAGTTTGTGGCCTTACCAGGAATCTTAGCTCTCTTCTCTGGGCCCTTGTTGTTATCTTGAGCACTCACTAGTAGGGTGCAGAAGTAGGCATTAATAGSGGCTTCCTTAGTAAGTCTGTAATAACTGCTTAAAAAGTTTGGTTTTCGCCTTTCCTCTGTGTTATTGATATGAAAGTTACTGACTCTGACTCCTGGCTACTGAGGATACGTAAACCGAGGTTATGAAGTCCAGTGTGAGCAGCTATCCAGGTAGMAGCTTGGAGCTATTAGCTGTGGAGCTAGTAATGTGTGGTGTGTCTTATTTGTTAGCTTCATGGTTAAAGCAATCTTAACTTAGTCTATTTTAATATTTACAGGCTGCTGAACAGTTGAATGAGCTAAATTCAAGCTGCCAAGAAGCGATCACAAAGTGCCTGAAAAGCAGAAAGGAAGAAATCAGGAATGCATTAGTAGAAAGAGTAAAYGCAATCTCTTCTGCCCAGCTGCAGGATTTTGACTGGCAGTTAAAGGTGAGACTCCTCCTTTAATGCTGCTGGAATATATCTAAAGAAGAAGTATTCCCCAGTATTGCAGTAAGTAATGTTACAGGTTGTTTGGYAGGACAGCTCAGTTATCCTTGGCATTATTTTATTAAAGCTGGATGGTTCTTTGGGCTTACAGATGCATTGCTGCTTTAAATTAAGCTCTGAGCTGCCTTAGACTTAGAAGGTAAACCATGTAAGTATTGTTACTTTGCCTGTCCATGAAAACTGTTAAATATTAAGTAGGTCTCTGTCTGAACAAGAGTAATTTGTGCAGCAAACTGCTCTGGAAACCAAAGAGCAGTGCTTGGATAGACAAGATTTTGCAAGAGCTGCTGCCTTGGCAACGTGTTGCGCTCCAGGTGAGCAGTTACTAAGATGAGCAGTAGAGCAGTTACTAAGATGAGCAATTTCTAAGCCTTGGTCTCCCTTGCTAACTGTACTTGTTGCTGACAAGAATATAAACCAGGCTTCTGAGAACTCATTACTTACTTGCGCTTCGTATCTTTGAAGAAGTTTTTACCTTCCTTTTCCATGATTAAAAACGTATGGTAGATATCAAAACTATTGCCAGCATTTTATTTAAACCACTCTTTGTCTGAGCTGATTGTAGTGCCCTTTTTCACTTACTATCGCTTGCTGTACTGCATTTTGCTCTGTAAATAAGATAGCTGGGTACAGAAACTGAGCTACAGTGTCRTCAGCAGATTCTGTACTGCATTTTTGAAGTCTAATTATATTAGACTGAATAGTAAACAAAAAAACCCCCCCACAATTGTATAACCCTCATCAGCATTTGTTAAATCATATATCTGACATAAGTTATTTGATAAGCTGTAGAGCTAAAAATTGCATGGAAAGTGTCCTTTTTTTTCCCATGCTCACTTTTCTGAAAGCTTTCTCACCTGTTGCTTACCAGAGTTGTCTGAGAAAGGTTACTTCTAAATTTTAAGAACCATGCTTAAATATTTCATTTCTTATGGTTTAGAATACAGAAATTAGAAGCCCTATTGTTTTAACAAAGTCTTCTGACAAATTTTTCTATGCAAAGGGTTGTTGGTATGTTGTTGGGGTGTTTTTTGTTGTTTTGCTTTGCTTTTACAGCTGCGGAGATGACTGAGAAGCTAGTCTTTTCATTTTGGTGTTGGTTCTGGTAGTAGCTTTCTACAGAAAGTACAGATATGATATTAAGTAACTGTATGGCTCATCTTCACTTTCTTTTTTTGTTTCTTTCATCAATTTACACAGCTTGCTCTCTCCAGTGACAAAATCTCCATGCTGCAAATGCCACTTCTCAATCTTGATTTAGATGTGAGAGAGAATGGTGAAATTAAGCCAATCTCTATAGAAATGAACAAGGAGGAGTTACAGAACCTAATAAATGCATTGGAAGCTGCTAATAAGGTATATATTTTTTTTTTAGCATAAGTATCCGTGCTGAATTCTCATGCATTTTGTTTTAGCTGACGTTTTGCTAAYGAAACTTAAGTTTTATGGTAATTAAGTACCTTAATTTCCACGGAACAGTAAATCGGAAAGAAAATTACCAAGATGCCCATATGTGTATAATGCAAGAATAAAAATTCAAGTATGACTTTCTTTAGATATTTCAGATTTCTAATAGAGAAGGTTGAAGAGGATTTAAAGAATGTTAGGGAGAAAAGTGTCATCTGCCTTGCATCTTGGTGATAACCATGGGTCCTGGAAACCATCCTTGTTCAGTTGCACCCCAGTGTTCATTCTGGCCCTGTGAAAAAGGACAGCGGGACCTTTTTAATCTAAAAATATATTTCAAATATTTATCAAGTCARTTGTGTGGGAGACAAGTGTCTGGTGTTCTGTAGGGTAAATATGAAAGTGGTGCACTGATGTCTTTAGAGCTACTTGGAAGTGCCACGTTGCTTCTTCATGCTTAGTGTGCAGAGATTAAAAGTTTTATATAAAATGTGTTGTCTAATCTGTGTCTAGAGTTATAGCTGGGAATTATAGATGAARGTTTCTAAAATCTCTGATATGTGACAACTGAAATTGATTGTAGTTCTTGGGGCAGAATACTAAGAAACAATAGTGCTATTAATYTTGGAGTCTAATGTAGTTAATATTACATGCACCTCTTGTCCCAGTGAGGCTGACAGGATACCTCTGGACAGCTACATGGATTCTAGTGAGATAAAGGTGTTAGTGGAGRTACAGGTGCAGCCTTCTTAAAAGTTGTTGAGAAGCACAGTCTTTAAATAAATAAAAACAAAAAGAGCAAGTTGAATTCTAKGCTCTGCAGACAAAGATTTCTTATAGCCCAGACTTCAGTAGTTACCAGGTGTCTTGTGCTCTGGTTGAAAGTCTGCTACAGGAAACTGTCATTCCATACTTAAACTTCAGTGTGGGGGCAGTGAGATATTTACTTTATAAATGGAGCTCTTTGTTCTGCTTGCTTTGTGAAGTGAATCCAGTGGGCCTGGAATGACCATTCTGTTTTTTACAATCATGATGAGATGGAGAGTGCTCTGTGTGCAGAAGCACCAAAGGAAATTATTAGAAGTAGTAGCAACTGCCAGGTGCATTTTCCAGAGGAAACGTGTATATGCAGTCTCGTGTTGTAGTGTATCTGTAAGAAAGCATAAAGCTGTATTTCTGAGATTGTTTTAGCTTTTTATCTCATCAACTCTGATCTAATTCCTTTTATTCKTTTTGAAGGTTGTATTGCAGCTGAAGTGAGGATATTCAGCTAGCTGGCAGCATCTGCCAATGCTGGTTCCACAAGTGACCTGGAAAAATGATAGACACACTTTCTACAAAGTCAAAAGCTCTTGATGCAATAAAATATTGAACTGAGCAGGTAGTATTGACTTGTGATCAAATAAACTATTACTCATTTGAAAGCAGAAACCTCTTAGATCTGCTAGAGTCGAATTATCTAAATCAAATATACAGTTGCTATCAGTACCGAAATAATATATAGCTAGAATGATRTAACCATTGTTAAAATGTACACTTGCATACATGATTTTTGTTAAATTTTGGGGGCATTTGTGCATTTTTGTAGAAGACCTAAGGCACCCCTTTGTGTAACACATTAGCCTTTCAAAAGGTTCAGTGATGATGAAGAAATGACAGCAGAAATGTGGCATTAATGTGTATATATGTACTTGTAAATAATAAACATTTTTAATATGTCTGAATAACTGCAGTAATTTAATAATCATTTATCCCAGAGCTTGGGCTTAAAAAAAAAAAGTGTGGTGGGGAGCACTATAACAGGTGAGTAAGGGTTAGAGGTTAACCCAGAAAGGAGTTTCCAAAGGAGCCCATGTGGTCTGTCAAAAGCGTATTCCCAGCCTATGCAGTAAGGCACATATCTGGTAGATCAGCATCTAAACCTTACTGAAACCAGAGTAGGATTTTCTTGTAGTAAAATATTTGGAGCTACCCAGTAGAGAAGTCTACACTAGAAATTTAATGGCTTCCACTGTTTGCAATACTATTTTTCTATACCTGGGGAGTAATTTATTTGTAATGGATGATGCAAATTATCATGTGCCCTYTGACACGCCTTTGTACTTCCCTTTTGTAGAAGAAGGCAAAGCTATGATAACTGACCCTCTTTGTCTTGCAAACTTTGTCTTGGGGTTCTTCCATTGTATTTTGCTGTGCCGTGTGCTCTAGCAGGGGCTAAGAGTGAAGTCACAGGATTGTATGGGGAAGGGAAGGTGCAGACACTTTGCAGGGTTGTTAAATAGATGGTCTACGTGGATCAGTGTTCTCAAGTCCAAGCTAAAACAGTGARGTTGGAATTAATGTTTGTTTAACTTAAAATCTGGAAGAAATTGCTGCATGTTGTCTTATAGTCTGTTTAGGAGTACTCTCCTTTTTAATGGTGAGTTCAGTGAATAAATCAGTCAGATTTGATTATTAGGCAGATATATTTGTCTTGCCTCCACTTCTCCCTTTCCTGTAAGTGTAGTTGCTTTATAGAAGAATGAATATATTATATTCCTTTGAAGGGACCCTGCATGTTTAAGCACTTCATCAACTGGATGATAAATATTATCTCTGCTTTAGCTATCTTTATGCTGAGAATATGTTGGTAGAAGGTTCTGTAGAAAAAAACTTAACTTTTTGGTAAGTGGTTATATTGTTGGTAAGGACAAAAGGGCTGGAAACTCTCCCTTGTTCTTGACAGTAGTGGAAGTAAGAAACAGCTGACAATGTTTCATATGAATGTACACTGTGAAGTTCTGTGCGTCATAGATRGGAGACACTCAGGTGTTGATACATTTCTACAGTTTTTTAGACATACTGTGAATGCATTAAAATTACCAATGCTTAGGAGGTCTGTACTTCAAAGAATATAAAAAATATAGATGCGCTGAACAGGTTTAGGAATATGCTGCTGAGGACCACTCTTAGGCTGGTATTGTTTAGTTTTCGAAGACCATTGTTCAAAATACAGTAGACTAATTCTTCAAAAAATAGTTTTGTTTTTTCAACAATAAAAGACCACAAAGGAGACATTTCATTTTTACATTCAAAAYTTGCTGCATATCTACCTGTTGAAAAAGTTCTTTAAGACTTTAAGACAAAATACATAAGTTTTACATAATTGTATTTTAAATTCATTTTAAAATAACTTACCTAAAAAGGGTTATATAGCTGCACTGATGATGTGTAGTAGTGTTTCATCTTCAGTATCATCTTGTGTTTCAACACTTAACAGAAAAGGATGAAGATTCTTTTCTTTTTTTTTAAGCGATTCTTATGACATAACCGGAATAAATGAATTGCTTTTTCTATGTGTTAGATTTTACTGAGATCCAAAAGCTGATAGTAAAAACAGGTATTGTTTATACAATTGGCAAAACTCCCGTGTTTTTGACAGTGAGCATAACAACTAGAGTGTGTGAATGGCTGTATGGGGAGAGGAGCTCCAGCCAACAACCAGCTGAGAAGTAGCAGTAAAATATGGTTATAATGAGGTGGTATTTAAAGGAAACTGGTAACCTGACTGCACATCTCTGMAGAGAAACAAACTATATTATGGAAGGCACTTAATGGCCTCTGGTAAATTGAAAAGAAATAGCCCAAGCAGGAGAGCTCTGATACTTTGTAGTGTTTATTAGAAAACGTGTTTGTTCTGGCTCTGCTCTGAACAGTAGATACAATTGGGACACAAAAGGTCTGCAATTGTGACAGATGAGGCATTTGTAGAAATTGCCAGGCCCAGTTGTGGCAAAAAGCTAGAAATTCTCCAAAAAGCAGTATGTGAGTGTCAGCTTCGACACTTGGTGAATGCAGGTGGAAATAGAAAGGTATCAAAAAGGAAAGATGAATGCAGAGTATGTGGCTGGAAACATGTAAAGCAAGCTCCCTGGCTTTGTGCCGATGGAGCTGGCATGTGAGGGGGGTCCAGCAGCACGCACTGGGCTGAAGAACAGGCACTGAGGTAAGAAACTTTGAATTTTGGCCTTTTTTATCTGTTCCATTTGCTCATGAAGCAGAGAACATCATTGAAGTTCAGTCAATCTTCGTCTACAGTATGTAGATGAAAGTCACCTAGCTTTCCTGTATAGAGTGCTAGATTTCTTGTTTGTCTCAATTCTTTGCCTTGCACATAGGCATTTCAATGTCACTTTAGCTCCATGTTCTTGACCGGACTGAAGGGGCTCCTGGCGACTCTGGGGGGAGTCTTCCTCTAGATGACAAGGGGCTCTTCCCTCTAGATGACATATATTGAGGCCTGCTGCAACATGTGGTGTTGGGAGCTATTTTCATGCTGGAGGTTGTGACATTTAGCTCGTGACACAGCCTGGTTTGGGGCATGCTGCTCAAATCCAGCCTTACTCTTCTGTCAAGGGAAAAGCCCTTGCTTAGCATTCATCAGACTTGTGTATGTTTTATGTGTTTTTTTAAGACACTTCAATATTCTAAGTTGGCACTAAAATATTAATTATATAACTATTTTAATTTGACAAAACACATTAAACTGTCCCTTTTTGAGTGAGACAATGTGTGCCAGTTCTTATTTTGGCTGTTGATGCAGTGCCAATGTTAAACAAACAAAACTATTTGTAGTATGAGGGTAGGCATAGAAGTTGTACTCAAATCAGAAGAGTCGTTTGGTTGTATAAATATTTATCTTGAGGAATCCCAAATTACACATAAGATCTCATTAAGCTGTTAAAATTGTGCAACTCATTAATAGAATGGGGCGATTAATGGTAATAGAAAATAAGATACAGCTAAGGAGACCACCTTTGCATGCCATAGAATTGGGGATGAGATGGGGACTTCAGACCTCCCACAGAAATGGTTAGATTAAAAAAAAAAAAAAAAAAGTGACTATGGAAAATGGATTAGGTGATGTAGATCAGAGAAGACTGAATCCTGTGTTGATTATAGCTTGCTAGCACTTCCCCTGTGGCTGGGTGATGGTAAGCAGGATGTTTGGAGAAGGATGTTTGGCAGAATGCTGGTGGTTAATCTGAGCCCTAAGCCTGTGGAGATGCAATTCATCAAGAGCAGTTTATCCAGAAACACCAAGGAATCCTAAGTCTCAGCTATGTGACCTTTTCTTCAGTGGAGTAAAGAAAACTTTGGGAATCCCTGTGCAGACCTCTGCTGTGATCTGTACCCAGGCACCTGCTATCTCCTGGGGGAATAGATTGTAATTACCAGCCAACAAAACCAAGAAGTCAAGAAGGCTGACCACTCTTGATCTGGAGTATCTATTAGTAGTAGCTTCTAGGAATGAGCACACTTTTTCTTGTATTTGTTTTATTCAGTACAAAATTAGAGGTGGCACAATTGTTCTTGTATCAATCTGACTTTGCTATACTGTGGAAATAACAGAATTCCAGTTATATCCAATGAGCTGTCTTCAGAGTTGGAAACTTGGTGGAATTTGTCCCTGCTGTCCTTATGCTCCTTTGAAAATCCCTGCCTCACTGAAAATGTGAATTGACTTACATATCCTTGAATGATACTTTTCACAGACACTATGAAAATATTTCCTATTACAATTAAAATGATGCTATAGAATTATAATCCTTTAAAGTTTTCAACTGTCTTTAGAGTCTTTTAAGGCTGAAAGATTCTAACGTAACAACTGTTGAGTCATACTGTCTTACTTGGGGAGGGTATCCTGGAATGGGCTACCAGTATGTGGCAAGAAATACAATAATTTTTAATTCTCCTCAAATGAAATAGAAGTGGGTAGGGAAAGCTCATTGGTGATGCACATTTTTTTGTAAAGTTCTAAGAATAGTGCTTTTGGTGAAGATGCTATATAAGAGCAGATCTGTTCTGATCTGAAAGTGGTAAGGCTTTTTTAGCTGTTTATTTTTTTCAGAAACAGACCTAGAAGTACTCGGTGGATGAATATCTTGGCTTGGCAATGCAGCATCATGGTAACTGCAGTTCTTCCGAGTTAACGAACTTGAGAAGGAAAAACAACTTCTGGTAAGCTAGTCTGTGTTAAAAGCTATTGCATAAATTAGTGGACATAATACAGCCAATAGACAACATTGAAAAGAATAAACGTGATGGGAAAGACCATTCTGGACCACTTGTCTATCACATTAACATCAGTCAAGTCGGGGATTTTGACCTTGATCTGGGAGGCCCTTCTTCGTAAGTGTCCTTTCTTGTGAAGTTTGTGTCTGTCCAGAGTGCTCCTACTGTAGAGTTCTCTGCTGGAAGTGGTTCTTCTGAACGCAAGGCTGGCACTGTCGTACGAGTACCTGGTGGCTCTTGGGTCTCTGAGGCTTGTGAATGCATCTGAGCTGCTGACTTCAGTTCTTACTTCAAGTGGATTAAGAAGAATGCTTCCATGGGCATCAACCTGTTTCAAGGAAGGAACTTGAATTAGATAAGTGCTTCAGTAAGTCCAAGCTGTCTCCTAAACCAATAGGTACCCTTTGGGTCATAAATTAGGTTCTGTCTGTCAATTCTATACCATTTTAGTGCCATGGGTTTGTTTTGAAGCATGTTTGTATTGATGGATTTATATGAGGAACGTGTAGGTACATGTGCATTTTCTCAATCATTCCTTGCAAAATGCTAGTGATGCATTTTGTAGAGACAATATATGCTGGAAATAGATCCCTACTCCCTACAGTGCACTATTAACTGTACATTAAGTGCACATAGAATAATCCATTTTATGGAGTGAAACCTTAAATGCTGCTGCATTTTCATCTGTTGGTACTGAAAGCAGTTATTTCAAATACATTTATCACTCATTATAGTCAGGGCACTGCTCCGAGTACCTGAATAAAAAATGGGAAACTGTAACGAATGTGTACATGCCTGGCATAGACAATATATGCTGCTTTTAATACAACTAGCTTTTTCATACCTGAATATAGTTAAGTAAGAATGAGAGCATGACTGGTGACAGAGGGTTTACTCATTCACTGCTCTCTAGTTTTCTACATGTGGTAAAACTTCTTTTTGGAGGATGTTTTGTTGTTTCCACAATGACCTGTAACTTCTCTGTGAAGACTTCCCAGATATTTAAACTTCCTAAATACTTTAACTGTCGCTATAGCTTGCATCAGGGAAAAGAATCATGGACCTCTTATATGAAACCTATAAGCCTTTACTTTAAGGCTTGGGCACTGAAACTTGTTCTTTGTGAACTGTAGCCTTGGTCCTACCTAATATTTCATAACCCAAACCATGGTTGTCTGGAGCTGGCTTAATACAAATGAGAAATAATCTATTGATAAAATCTGTAAAGCTTCTAAATTATGTGAAGCCTCTGGAAGTCCAGTGTTTTGTTCACACTCTGGATTTTTCCTCTTTGATGAAAGAGCAGAGCTGACATGGTATCTACAGTGGGCAAGATCCAGGCTCCAGGAGTTGAGGTAGGTGAAAGCTGGAAATCAGTGAAACTGTCATTTCTGCCTGGCAGTGTTGCTCCTTTTCACTGCCAGAATTGCCTATCTGGCCGGTGTGTTTATTTGACAAGAGTTACTTACCATGAGTTTCTTGCTTAGTAACATCTGAATGTTACTCTTAGTGTGAAATAGTCCAAGTAATAAGTGAACCATCATGTTGAGTGCATGGAAAGCAGACTGTCAGCTCCACAGGAAAAGCCTGGCAGCATTCTGTGACAGTGGATTGGCCTCAAATGTTCAGATCTGTCTGGTATGTGTTTTTACTTAGCTATTTTTTTCCCCTTAACTATTGCGCAGACAGATAGTTACAACATTGAGTTTTGAATCAATATGAAAAAAGTAAGGAAAAAAAACTCAATTTTCTCCAAAGATAAGAGACTCAGGAGCCCATGCAAACTGCCCTGCTGGAATTAATGCAGTATAGATGTCATGGACTAGTCTTCAAAGAAGCAGGTTATGTTCCACAAGGATAAGCTTATTCATGTGTGGATTTACTTAGGGGAGCCTGAGCTGGTTGTGCTACTGGCTGAAACCTTTTTCTGCTTCCAGCAGCAACAACACTGAAAAAATCGCATGTTTTCCTTGGAGCCCATGTATGAACTTGACTTTCTATACCAGATGTTTTGCGATTCACAGAAGGCTTGGAGGGAAGGTATGAAGCTGTGCAGAGCGAGGGTGCAAAAGGCCATCTGTGCCATAGCTTGCTTGGCGACTTGTGGGCTTTTGGTGGCTCAGCTCCTTTTCCACTTGCACTGTGATTGCACACAGTGCTTGTGCCTGGAAACAACCAGCTGTACAGAGGGAGCATCCAAACACTTTCTCCCTGTACGGTGTGGTTTGGTTATGGTGATTTCCTCAATGGCATGGGCATTTTGACAACCAGATGATAAGGAGATACAAGTGGTCTTTCTTTTATTTGAAGAAAGAGAAAACTTGTTTACTGTAATTTACTAGTTCTCAGATATTAAAGTTAAAATGACATGGTGAAAGTGGAGAGGCCCTATTTCCACGTTCTTCAGGTTATAGAGCAAAAAGCAGCCACATGTGAAGCATCAGTTCCATTTGGTCTTCTCTATACTCTGTTAATGCCATGATCTGTTTGAGTATTGCTCGCATGTGTAATGTTTTCTTACTTGATGAAGAAAGAGGAATTGTTTTTTTGGAGGGTGAATGTGTATGTCGGGTGAAAATGAACAGTATTCTTCACCTGGCACAAAGAGAAGAAGGACTACTACCTATATTCTTATGATTATGGGTGCCTGTCTGGATATATGGTATGCATAAAGAGAATAAAGGGGAAGTCAGTATCCTGTAGTGGTACATACAGATGTGCTTTTGTGCTCTGAAAGCTTTCACTGGTACAAATCAACATAGTAGAAGTGAAAAATGAGAAATGAGGAGAGAAAGAGTAGTAGYGGCCTTCATTAGTGATCGCACAAGTTTACTGTATGCCACTGTTCTGATCGTGTGCATTATTTCTGTTAAAGACAGAAGTAGTGCTGGACATCGGCATTTTCCTTGCTGATGCACAGGAATACGTACAAGGTCAGGCATGTGATGTATCTCCATAGAGCTAGTAAAAACCATTGGTACCCATTTAGTCATATGTGTTTCATGAAGCTGTATGATACAGAAGGCAGTCCTAACCCATTCTCAGTATCAGAATGGAAATGCAGTGTGAACAATTTAAAATGCTACGGAACCTGTGTGTTTTGAAGTCATTGTTGGAAAAACTGGTGCATGCTGCTCTGAGAAGTTTATGCGCTTGTATAAATATATTCCGGCCCATTTTTTAGTACTGTTCAGTGTAATCTCTTTGCTGGTTTAAGATTTAGACAAAAGCTTTCAATTACAAGATTTTGTGTGTGTGTGTGTGTGATTCAAACCAAATAGCCAAATGTATAGAAAAAAGGCTTACCTTCACTCTGACTCTTATCCTCTACTCAGATCAATGCATTGGAGCCATAGTTGATCATAGATCTTACAAAGTTCACTTAGCAGATGCGAGGAGTGTTTAAAAAAATGTTTCTCTGGACCCTCTTTCTTATATTTTTTTCCATGATTTCTTATTTGTATATTTATTTGAAGATTTACTTGAAGATGGGACAAATCATGTGTTGCTATGATCCCTTTAAATATTATTTTTCCCTAGAAAAGTTTTAAGTGCATTTGCATATGTGTTCAAACTGCTTTTCTCCCTCTGTCATCACACACATCAACACTGTCAACATTATTTCAGAAATGGCTGCAAAGTTGGCCAGAATATTTTACCTGGACTGTATTTGTATCCAGTCGGCCCTTCTTGCCTGCAGCATGTCCTGCCTTGTCTGCTGACTTTTTCTGACGCTGGGGTCCTTTACCGAAGAATATATAATTTACAAAGGCATATTCCAGCAAGGCCAAGAACACAAACACAAAGCATCCCATCAGGTAAATATCTATTGCCTTGACGTATGGTATCTTTGGCAACGTCTCCCTGAGGTGGGTGCTGATTGTGGTCATGGTCAGCACAGTTGTGATTCCTGAGAAAGGAAAAAATGAATGTTAACTAAAAACACAGTGGAGTCACTGCTTGACTACCATGCTTTTTTTCTGATGTAGATGGCTTAATTATATGATTAGATTCTCAGCAGCTGAAGGAATGCGTTTCCCAGAACTAGACGTGGAAATATTGCAACTGGTAGTAGTTTACTGGCACGTGACCTATCCTAGGTAGTACAAACAAGTAATCCAAGGCGTCAGTGACACAAAGTGTGCATCTATTCTAGGATGTCCTGCTGCCTTAGCAGTATGTTACACAGTTGGATCTGCAGATCTACTGATAATACCTTTATTTCCTTTTCCCATATAATAGAGGGTGAATGAAATTGCCTACAAGTGTCTAGGGATCCCTAGCTCCTATCTCATATACTCATATACTGCCTCACTGCTACAAAGAAAATGTAATTTGCAGAGATATTCTGGTGTTAGCTGATTTGAATAGCATAGAAATTTCAGAATAACCAAGTTTTTGTAAGGACATCCTTTTCACTTTTCTAAGAGTAGTAGCATTGCTTGACTCATACATTGGATTGCACTATCCTGAGGAATTGGAATAACATCCAGTTGAAGTCTGAGGGGAAAAAAAGGTGATATGTTCGTGCAGAAACAGCTTTTCCTACTAAAGGATGTTCTGTGAAGTGAAACACTCCCATCTCATCACGTTATTCATCCCCGATTCATTTTTGTCCTGTTATTGTCTGAATGAAATTATTTTATAGTGTGCTGTAATCACAGGTCACTAGTGTATCGAATAGCTCTAAGCACAGGTGCAATAAGTTGAGTTTAAATAAAGGGACAAAGTGATTTTCTGCTATTAGGTTTTGAAAAGCAAATCTGCCTTAAAGCACGCATGGAGCAGAAGATCTTGATCCTTACAGTAAGTTGTAGCAAGTAACATGGTGCGGGAAAATAAGCATGTGTGTGTGAACCAGGTTTATTTGCTGTAAAATGTTATATCTTGATTGTCAGTAGGATCATATGTATTTATTCCAATCATATTTCTGGCCTGAAGTGATTCCTTTTAACATCAGAGTTGTCAATACCGCACAATGTAGAGACCTTTAGATACTTGCATTAGACCTTCGCGTATCAATTTGGAAGTGACCTACTGATTCAGAGACCTTTATGGCATTTGGAAATCAGTCAGGATCTCCCATATGGGCAAGGTGACATTTGCATGAAGATCTAAAGCTGCACTGCTGGGCAGACTACTAATGATGTATTATTGCTCAGAACCAGCCTGACAACTCTGTGCTGCTTAGAGGACTAAAAAATTAGGCATTGTTTTGTGATATAACTTGGAGAAGAATCAACCAAACGTGAGTTTGGTGAGTGAGATTGAAGAATCAACTAAAAGTGTTATTCTTCTTCACAGGATTTAGCTAATACCAACCATAAAAATTAACATCATGCAAACATGATGCTTTTTGACTGTACAGGCTAGCAGGAAGATGACTTAATGCTTCTGATATCAGTCATATGGAAGTGGTGCTAGTGTGCTTAAAAAGAAAAACTGTCTATGTATACCAGTGCCAAGATTTTGGAAATAAGTTACCTAGGGCAACTCTGGCTGCAGAAGCATCATAATTGATCCAAAAAGATACCCATGACAGAATTGTGATCAATGTAGAAGGCATATAGGTTTGCAAAATGAAGTATCCGATATTCCTCTTAAGCCGGAAACTGAGGGATAATCGAGGATATGCTCCTGAAAGAAAGAAGTCATATAAGGACTAGTGCCTAAGACAAGTTAGACATTGATACTTCTGGTTTGTGGTTTTTTTTTTTTTTTTTTTTTTTTTTTTTTAATGGATAGTGCTTACCTGTTGTAAATTCTACTCTCTTTGATACCATCTGGTAATCAACAATAGAAAATTGTGGGAGTTCAATGTTGTTAACTCCTGTTACTGCAGACTCTCCTCCATTCCAGTAGAATTCAATATCATCAGTAGTGTATCCATCTGTAACGGGCACAATTTGACCATTGATTTTATTTTTTTCTTTTTGTTTTTTTTATTACTTAGCTTAAATAGCTGCAGTTCAAGTCAAAGGACCTCTCTCACTCCAGGCTGGAAAGCCTGTTTCCCAAAGGCAGACACTTGAATCAGGAATTCAACCTTCCTGTTGTGTGAAGTTTCTTTAATATAGAAGTCACCTAGCTTGTTATAATATAAACAGGGGGATGTGCCTGAGTAGGGAAAGAAAGAAGACTAGAAAAGAGGGACAGAATTTAAGATTAAAGTTAATTTTTAGCTACCTCTACGAAGACAATCTAATCTATATTTCAGCCTTAATTCACTCTGTTTTCCAGTAGATAAGTAGCATAAGCAAAACTCTTAAACTAARGAGTAAAATTTACTGGCACAGTAAAGCCAGGTTCAGTTCCCAGGCTTACTTTTAAGCACCTATGCCATTTATTAAAAATACTAAGTTTGGATCCAGCGGAGACACCTGAAATAGAATTCTAACTAGAAGAATTTAGGTGCCTGCACTATTATGTCTATGTTTATCATAGACATTATGCTTATGTCTATCAGAGCGGTAGTTACCCCTCTGACATCTGTGCAGCACTTTGTATTTTAATTAGACTTTGCCATCTTTGACCTTCTGTTACCATGAAGTATTTTCTATCCACTTAGAACTAGGATATTTTCTGTCTTTAAGTGATTTTGTTTATAGATTAATTCAAAATTAACTTGTGATTTCTAGCCTAGAGTATGTTAACATTTACAAATGTATCTTGATTAAAATCAAAAGTGACTGAGTTTCAAAATCTCACAATTGAACTTTTCTGAGCTAATATTAACAGTTATTTCAGTTTAGTGCATATTACTACTTTATCCATAAATCCTTTAGAGGGGAGAGCAATATCTCATCTATTTTAGGCTTTCCTAAAAATGTTAGATTTAATCAGGTTTAAATCACGTAACACAGCTCAAATAGCTTTGAGTTCAAACACGTTTTTTTAGAAAACTTGACAAGAGTTTTGCCAAGTGAACAAACTGCAGCATCAGAAGCCTCTATATATACATTTAAGAATTTATTCTTTTTTTATATGCTAGTAATGAATTTTCTAGCTAGGGAAATTAGACTTTTTTCTTATGGTAGTAGCTTGTTATAGCCTCATCTCTGGAAGTCTGACCACATGCAAAACAAGTCTGTAGTTTCCTTGGTGACAGTTGGAGCTTTCACAAGTTGTTCCCTGATTCAATAGACTGCTTAGAAATTCTGTAGTTATTGAATAAATCTTTTGATGCAAGTGTATAGTGATGGGTTGGAAAAGGTTAAGTGTTAATGTATATTATTTGTGAGCTGCTCAGCATCGTGGTTTGCCAGCCATCAGAATTGCTCCTGAAACCATACTGGGCTGTGTAACATGGATCATGGGTGTTCGCTAAACATCTGTGCTTCTGTTCTTATGCTGATGTATTTGAAATAAASTGTCTTGGAACTGTCATGCAAGACTGTGTATCATTGACTTGCATTCCTTTCAGTCAGAAGCTGGCAGCTTCCCATCACAAAAGGTCAAGACAGCCTCTTGATACTGTGATATCAGTAACTGTTTTAAAGACATGTCACRCAAATCATGTGGTCAACATGATCCAATGCAGCTTCCTCCTCTATGGAGCCAAAGAACACACGACACTCTCCCTCATCACAGTCTAGGTGCATTTCCACAGAGGCAAGATGCAGCATAATTCACTGTTGCAACTGCAGATAAAATTCCATTCCCTGAAGATGATCCCTCCTTGCTGGACCTTTGCAAAAACAGACTGCCGGGATTTTGTAATGTGGGTAAGACAAACTTTTCATTAATTTCAGTCTTGGAAATGTTTCTGTGAGTTTGGTTAAATTGTTTTCTTTAAAAACAACCCCTCAAATCTGTTGTGTATAAAGTCTATCAGCCAAAAGCAAGGCCTTTGCATGGAAGACTTCAGATAATAGTCAACCTTCTGTTAGGCTGCCATTAACCTCTGCAACCTCAAAGACTTCCAAATACTACAAAAATGGATCTGGTACAAGCTACAGCTATCTCTAACGTGCAGATTTTTTCTTTGAATTTTGCTAGTTAAAGTTGGAAAATTATGAGAAATTGAAAAAAAAATCATTTTCTATCACAAGCACTGATGGTCATTGATTCTGTCTTCAGAATAACTGAGCAGCAACATCTTTCTGCATTTTTGTATAGATAAMCACTTCAGTATGATCACAATCTTCTTGAAAGTCATTGCAGTAACTGTTAAATAACTACGTTCTTTCCTGAATTTTCCATTTCTGGTTGTGATATGGATTTTGCTCACTGGTGCCTTTTGTTATGTGCTGGAGCGCTTTGCCGCGGAGGTGCAAGGAGCKGCTTTCATGGCTGAAGATGACTCACAGGTGCAGGGCTTAAAGGTCCTGCTATTCTATAGGCATTGAGATTGCTTTTCACTTTCCAAGCTAGGAGACTTCAGAGGAGCATAATGGGATGCAATTTAAAGAGTGGAACTGATCTGCAGTTCAGAACAGAGTTGGAGAACTGATCACTCCTTCTGCTATCAAAGTGGAGAGGCTCTTGAAGCGAGGCGCTTTAGGTGCGGTAAAGCAAGAAAAGTCTCCTTTGGAGATGCTCTAGCTTCTGGCTAGCAAGTGATGATGAACCTTCATTTCTGAACATCCTTAACCTTTACAAGAGAAGAAAAGCTATTTGAATGGGATAAAGAGAGGGCATATTCTGTGCAGCGGCCAGCTCTGTCATGCCCATTTGTTCATTAAAGCTTTCTGTACTGCTCAAGCTTCAGCAGCTGTTCCTCAGCCGTGGATTTTCCCCCTGTGACCCTTTTCCTCTGCAAATGCATCCGTGACACTGTTTAAAAATGCGTCTGTATCTCCGGACAGCGATACTTCCAGCTCTGGTGATGTCGGGGCTGGAATCCAGTGGAAGTAAAATAKGGGCAGGCTGAGATACTCTCCCTTCAACTTTAGAAGTTTGCCCGTTTTTCCCAAGTATTTCTCAGGGCTGGTGACAGTTAACGGTCGCTTCAGTGGCGCCGCTCCGCGGGCGGCCACTGGGGGGCGCCCAAGCTCCGCGGCGCGAGGCGCGGGGGCCGCTTTCCGCCTCTGGCGCCTCTGGGGGATGCGGCGGCTCTGAGGGACGTGACGGCTCTGAGGGCCACCCCGCGGCTCCTCGCCGCTCTGCGCCAGGGCCCTCAGCCCCGTGGCCGCATGGGGTGCCGGGCTTCACCCCGATTCACAGGCGCTGCGATTTGAGCCCCTTTCCTCAGATTTCCGGAGCATTTTCCAAGCATGGCCTCATTCCTGGGCTGACCTTCTAGCAGTCTAGCCCACTTAACTAAACAACTTACCCAGGATTTCTGTGTGTGCTTTTATTGACCTACATAATAAGAGATGGCTAAGCTTTTTTTTTTTTTTTTTTTTTTAAGTGTATTAATAAAGCTTTCATGCAAACAATTTGATGTATTGAAGCCTTTGTTTGCCTCCTAGAACTTGTTTCCAATCTCAGCATCATTACACTACATTTTATCACTTCCAGATATTAAACTTCAGCTCCAGAGAGAGGGAAGAATAGAAAGTTAGGAATGATGGCACAATTCTTGATGTGTCAATAGTTCATTTTCCTGCTTCTTCACCAGCAGCTGAAAGATTAATTGAAAACAATTACGGGCAGGAGCAGCACAGGTCTAAAAAGTTGCTAGAGTCAGGCATGGCATAAAAAAAGGTTATGGATAAATCTCCTGGTTCCCAGGGGATAAAAATATTTTAGTGCTGCCGACATTATCATATAACCGAGGTTAACAGCATATTAGCTATTGTCATCAAGCTGTTTTATTTTCCGCTGCAGCCCTTACCATCTCAAATACCTCTGGGATAAATAAAGATCCACATTATATTAATTTTGGAAACAAACTCATGGTGGTACTGTTATTACCTATTCTGCTACCTCAGTGTACAAATGCCCTGTTTTCAGGCTGACTCTGCAGTGCAGGTGCTTCAGAAAAAAAAAACCAGTAACAGAGTCTCTCCCTTAAGGATCTGAGTCTAAACAGACTAGGCATTTYGAAAGTGTATTTCAGGTCTGTGTGATTATAGATGTGGTGCTGAGGCCCACGCAAATAAGGTGAACTGCCCCAAATCATCCAGCCCTGTACAAGGATGTGAGCTGGAACCCAGGCGCTCTCTATCATTACTCGGCCATTCCTCTTCAAAAACTTGTTTTTTAKTAGTGAATGTGTTTTTTACAGTGCCTGTTTTCTTGTTTCACATATTTATCATTCCTAAGACTGTATTCAAGCAGGAGGATGAAGTATCTCTTCATTACACCACTAAAATGGTCCCATACAGTGATAAATCAATTGTGCTACACTGTGATCCCAGTATGTGACAAGGGCGTCATAGATCTCAACACCTGGTTTGGAAAGCAGTGACACTAGTTAACATTGGAGTGGTCATACTCCAGTGTTATGAAGTGAAATGGCTTCCTGATAGCTTTGGGTTTTTAGGATGTGATTTTTATTTTTCCCAGTGAGGAATATAGGCTGACCCGAAGGAAGGCAGCCTTTCACTTCCCGCAGGCAGATGGTGGGTTTTGACTGGGAATCTGAGTCAAAATTTAGCCTAAGCAATATTGACCCAAATGGATATGGCTGGAGTATTACAAATTGTCAGTTACTTAAAAAGGTTTCTCAAAAGACACTAAACTTAACATATGGGGCAATCTGTTCCGTCTCAGTTGGAGACATCACTTCCTATCCATTAAAAACAGAAAATAAATGTTATTACAGCATAAAGTCGCTCTTGCGACACCTTAATCTAGTTCAGGCAGTGAATTATAACCTCKCACTGTGTTGTACTGACACCTGGAATGCTCATTGCTGCCTGTTATCTTTCTTGCCTCGCTCACTACTTAGATATCGTTTGCCACTGCAACGTGACACAAAGTCAGAAGCCCTTCACGAGGGGG